TGAAGTTAAGATTTACACAGTACTATCTTATCACAAGTAGTTATCAAAAGCTGGTTTTGTTTATTAAAAGTTATGGGTACATTTCACTCAAACTTTAATTCCTGTTTATAATATTAAGAATCAAATCCAATAATACAATTAAATTTATTCTAATTTGTATTTTATATCATTAATATTTATTATAAAATTGTCATTTATAACAATATTATGTAAATGTATTTATAACGAATTATTTTAAGTAAATTATTTGCTAGCCTCTATCTAACATTTGGTTCAAAAGTGGACTTATATCGTATGGTAATTCATCCAGAAATTTTAAGACTACTTTTTTATTAAGATTACGTGAATAATGTTTTATTTTCATAATTTTTGCAAATTTAGACTCCGCTTCACATCCATATCTCATTTGAAAACAATTATTTAATAATGAATAATTTTATTATGAATAAACAAGTAAATTATACGTGTGATTATAAATGTTTAATATCCTAGTATCACCATTGAATAATTAGTACTGTATAAAAGATCTACAAAATTTAATCTAAGTTAATTGTTTGACCAAAACTTTTTCAGTTTATTATAGTTGTTTGAAATCCAAACTTTGAATAATAAAACTAAACTCGCTATAAATACACGACAATTTTGTGCTAATTAGTATTTTTAATCCAAATTACTGAATAGTAAAGTCTGTACAGGAGTTCTATCATAGATCTCATTGAGAAGTGGACAGACATCAGAGGGTAAGGCACTCAAGAACTTAAGAATAAGTTCTTGTTGTGTCCCTTTAGTAGATGTTATAAGATTCATGAGTTTTGTGAACTTGGAGTCGGCCTCACACTTGGACTGGTATTTCATTTGCAGATATCGTTGAAGTAAATACATGTAAACCTTTTGTTGAAGTCTACAACATAATAAGGATCCAAATTGAATTACATATTAATAACACTACAGTATTATGTCTATATAAAATTACTCTACATACTTAATAGTTTGTCTATGGGTTAAGTTTGGCTGATTTGAGTCAAATAACACTATAGCTGTTGACTAGAAGTATAATAAATATATCAATTTTTATTACAATTAATTATTAGTTTATTACCAAATCCAAAATGATTTTGTCGGATTCAAAATCTTTTCCATGCTCCAACAACAGCGAATCCAATTGATAATTTTTGAACACTTGTAATTTCAATAAAGTAGCACAATTGTTTTCCTTATTAACACAATGAAAATTATTATTACGAGTTAAGTAACAAATTTCTAATTAGGCTATACCTGCGGGAACTTCCAGTGCTCGCACTCGTTATAGTAGTGATGTACTGAACGCATACATGACATTTGGATTAAGCCATACTTTAAAAGTATTAGTTTATCATTTTCACAAATTCTTTGAAAAGTTGTCAATTGTTTGAAATTCTGTATGGTTTCGATGACACCTCTCTCACAATGAATGGTCAACACTTTGATGGCCTCCATTGGGTCTAACACTTGGGGCCACTTGAGAACATCAAAAGTCAGGGAAAACCTACCCTTTTCTGTGGCACTCATGAGTTCCCTAAACTTCATGCCTTCCGTCTCATTGAACGTATCGTTAGGTATATGTCTGTAAAGAGGAACCACCTCTACATTCAATCTACTTCTGTAAGGGATCACTGAATTGGTTGTCAAACTGTCTTTCAGTTCATTAATTTGTAAATTGAGCTCATCTTCAGTTATTGTCTTATTTTCTAAGATTTCTAAAAAATTATCCGACATTTCATTATCTAAGGCCACCAATGACTTGGAAGTGTCGGTCGACACATCTGTTTTGGCTATTGTTTGACAAATCATTTGTTTTTGTTTATTATCTCGTATTTTACGTTTTCTAATCTCCTTTTCCTCGTCATTCAAAATAAACTCCTATAAATGGATTCATTATTTATATTTTAACATTGATTAGCAATAAAAATAGCTTTTAAATACTTTTCTCATTCCTATGTTAAAACACTTTTGAAGTCTACATTTTCGACACACAGTTCTCATATCCATATCGGTTGGACAGTTGTTATCGTAATTACATTTCAACGTCTGTTAGCATTCAATTAATTAACTATTTTTTTAAAATTTAAAATAAAATTTACATTTAATTTGTGGGCATTTCTCCGGAAGTATGTTTTACAGGGTTGACACGAAAGGGCGCAAAAATTTCGTCCTAAATATTATCATTTAAATTATAAATATTTGATATTATGTCACAAATAGTTACCCTGAGCTTTAGCACCACAAACACCACATAAATTTCCAGATTTATTTGATGCTGACATTTCTAAATTAAATTATGATCACATTCATAATTTTCTAAAATTTAAACATTATTATTTCACTTAATTTTGTAAATTACTTTTATTAAAATGATAAATACAACCAATAATAACAAAGTGATGCCATGTTTTGTTCATCAATTTATGATTTCCGTTCATGACTGATAGATAAATCAAATATACAGTATCTCTCTTATCAAGGCTAAATAGTCTAGAGACAAGGGCTTATAAGTTATGATACATTTATTTATAATACAGAATTTGTATACAAGTACATTTATTAGTTAATGAACTTTATTTAAACATTATAGTAAGTTTTTAATCTGGGCATGTTAATTTTATAAGATTCAGTAACTTTTTTATGAATTTTTTTAATTTTTAGTTTTATTTTATTATTAAATTTAATCAAATATATTTTGCCTGTTATTATGTCTATCAAATATTTCATTGAAAAGGGGGCTGATATCAGGTGGTAAGTTATCCAGGCAATATTGCATAAGTTTGCGCACACTGTGGGTACAATTGACTGCATCCATGAGTTGTGCAAACTTTGACTTCGCATCCGATTCGGAGCCGTATTTTAAATGTAAATATCGGTGAAGTAAATACATGTAAACTCGTTGTTGTAGTCTATAATAAATACATAAATAATTATACATTTTAATAATTTAACCAGTTCAATTACACAAATAATATACTTAATTGGTTCTCGATAAACAAGGTTTGGGTTGTTTGGGTCAAATAAAACGATTGCTTTTAACTGTTTGCAAAAACAAGTAATAAATTATAATTGCAAAATATTCTTGGTAC